AAAAGGAGGTGATGAGGTGTGGTACTTGGACAGTGGATGTAGCAACCATATGACAGGAAGGGAGGATCTACTTGTTGACATTGACAGAAATGTGACTGCAAAAGTTGAAATGGGAACTGGGCAGCTTGTTGAAGTCACTGGTAAGGGCAGCCTTGTGGTTGAAACCAAAATGGGGAAAAAGTATATCAAAGAAGTTATGCTTGTGCCTGGTTTGAAAGAAAACTTACTGAGTGTGGGCCAGATGATAGAGCATGGTTATTACTTGGTGTTTGGAGATCACAAGGTGGAGATTTACAATGACAGTTCTTATTCCAATTTGATTGCAAGGATACAAATGAGAGGAAATCGAAGTTTCCCAATCAAATTGGAGGCTGAAATGCATTTTGCCTATAAGGCAAGTGTTTGTCACTCTACTGAAATGTGGCATAGAAGATTGGGGCATCTAAATATGAGCAATCTGAAGTTACTGCAAGAACAGGAAATGGTTGTGGGATTGCCAGAAATTACAGCTGTTACAGAGGTCTGTGAAGGTTGTATTCTAGGCAAACAGTGCAGAGAGTCATTTCCAAAGGAAGCCTCTACTAGAGCATCAACTCCTCTAGAGCTTGTACACAGTGATATCTGTGGTCCAATGCAAACAACTACAAAAGCTGGAAATTGATATTTTCTCACTTTCATAGATGACAGCACAAGAATGTGTTGGGTTTATTTTTTAAGACAAAAGTCTGAGACTCTGAGTGTATTCAAGAGATTCAAAGCCACTGTGGAATTGCAGAGTGGTTATAAATTAAAGAAGCTTAGAAGTGATCAAGGAGGAGAATACACCTCAGGGGAGTTTGATAGGTTCTGTGCAGATATAGGCATAGAGAGACAGCTGACAACTCCATATACACCACAGAAAAATGGTGTAGCAGAGAGGAAAAACAGAACGATTGTGGAAATGGCAAAGTGTTTGTTGCTAGAGAAGAAGATTCCTCTTGAATTTTGGGCTGAAGCTGTTAATACATCAGTTTATATTTTGAACAGGTGTCCAACCAAAGCTTTGAATAAAAGAACACCATTTGAAGCTTATAGTGGAAGGAAGCCTGGAGTTAAGCATCTGAAAGTATTTGGATCATTATGCTATGCTCATGTTCCAAGTCAACAAAGGCAGAAGCTGGATTTGACAAGCAAGAGGTGCATTTTCTTAGGTTATGGAAGCTGTGAAAAGGGGTACAGACTTTATAGTCTTGAAACTGGAAAGATAATTGTGTCTAGAGATGTTTTGTTTAATGAAAATGCAAGCTGGGATTGGAATACACAGAAAGAAAGAAGTGTGATGATTCCAATTGCTGAAACAACTTCAAATAAGCAAGGACAAGAAGAAACCATCAGTAATTCTGAAGTACAAGGTGAAGAAGGTGAAATATTTGGCACTAGTACTGAATCTAGTGATCAAGAAAGAATGCCAAGCTTCCAGGATTTTGATCACACACCTCGCAAGTACAAGAGCATTGCAGAAATCTATGAGAAATGCAATATGTGCATCATAGAACCAGAGAGTTTTGAAGAAACAGCAAAGGATGATTCCTGGCAGTAATTCTGAAGTACAAGGTGAAGAAGGTGAAATATTTGACACTAGCACTGAATCTAGTGATCAAGAAAGAATGCCAAGCTCCCAGGATTTTGATCACACCCCTCGCAAGTACAAAAGCATTGCAGAAATCTATGAGAAATGCAATATGTGCATCATAGAACCAGAGAGTTTTGAAGAAGCAGCAAAGGATGATTCCTGCAAGAAAGCTATGGAAGATGAAATTCTGATGATAAACAAAAACCACACTTGGGAACTTGTAAATAGACCATCTGACAAACCAATTATTGGTGTTAAATGGGTCTATAAGACAAAACTGAACCTGGATGGGTCTGTGCAGAAGAACAAAGCACGGTTGGTAGCAAAGGGATATTCTCAGAAGCCTAGAATAGACTTCAATGAGACCTTTGCACCAGTGGCAAGACTTGATACTGTGAGAACCTTGGTGGCTTTAGCTGCACAGAGAAATTGGAGGCTATTTCAGTTGGATGTAAAGTCGGCATTTCTTAATGGAGTGCTAAATGAAGAAGTGTATGTGGATCAACCATCTGTTTTTTGATACAAGGAAGTGAAGATAAGGTGTATAGGCTTAAAAAGGCTTTATATGGCTTGAAACAAGCTCCAAGAGCTTGGTATGAAGAGATAAATTCCTACTTTACTAAAGCTGGTTTTCATAGGAGTCCAAGTGAAGCTACATTGTACACTAAGATGTCTCCAAGTGGTATTCTCATTGTATCACTATATGTAGATGATATTATCTACACAAGGAGCTCAACAGAAATGATGGCTGAATTCAAGAATGAGATGATGAGGCAATATGAGATGACAACATGAAAAATACTTATGTACATGTATAATGCGAGTATTAAACGTGAAAATACTAAATTCTATATACGTATAATAACTTTGGAAAACCAAAAACTGAAAATGGGACAATAAAGAGTCGTGTAATTGCCTACTAGTAATGGATAATGCTCTAAACTACTCTTGTTGATAAACAAAAATGGGGCAAAAACAATTATAAAAAAAAAATTAACAGAGTGTATGTTAAGAGTATAGCCGCACGGCTATAAAAAAGAATTTAAAAGAATTTAAAAGAATTTAAAAGAAATGACCACCGTAAAGCCGGCCCGTTATATAAGATTTTTTATTAAAATAAATCTGGAGTATAACCGAACGGTTATACTATTTATAAATAAATAAAAGGGGACCCGCTTAGGAAGCACATGGGAACAGCAAAGAGAGTGCTGAGATACATTCAAGGTACTATGAATTATGGAATTGCTTATGAAAAGGGAAAAGGGGCAGTGCTAATAGGTTACTGTGATAGTTATTGGAGTGGAAGTGAGGATGACATGAGAAGCACATCCGGCTACGCATTTAACTTGGGGTCAGGTGTTTTTTTTATAGCTTCAATCAAGCAAAGCAGTGTCGCTCTTTCAACTGCAGAGGTTGAGTATATGAGTGCAGCAGAAGCTACTGCACAAGCTATTTGGCTGAGGTTTGTGTTATCAGACTTTGGGGAAGAGCAAGTAGAACCAACTAAATTGCTATGTGATAACACTTCAGCTATTGCAATATCGAAGAATCCAGTTCATCATCACAAGACCAGACATATTAATCGAAGGTTTCATTTCATTCGAGATGCACTTCAAGATGGTGAGATTGATCTACTGTATTGCAAAACTGAAGAGCAGCTTGCTGATATTTTCACCAAGCCTTTGGCAAGAGATCGATTTGAATATTTGAGGAAAGCTTTAGGAGTCATTTCAGCACAACACTTGGAAGGGAGTGTTGGTGTATAAGTGTGATTGCTGAAATGTAATCAGAATAGGAAGTTTCTATTCTTTGTTTAAAAGGCTGCGTTGGATCATAGTCCAAGTGTACAGCAGAGAATGTAATAGCTTTGTGCCAGGTGTCATTATCTCATAGGGTAGTGAAATGAAGGGTTAGATTTTGAATGATGTAAAGAGGAATATTCCAACAGTAATATATGCACAGTGAGTGCGTGAGTGAAGCAATAGCTCATTGCTTCTTCTCTAAGCTCATTTCTGGTTTTCATCTCTCTCTCTCTCAATCTCTGCATTTTTCATTTTTCTCTAAGATCTGGAGCTCCATCTACCAAAAATCCAAATGGTTCAGATCATAGTCTGAACATTCTAACAAAATCCACCCACGGTTAATAGATCTAGTCACTCAAGTGTGTGCCTCATTATGAATCCATAAAAATAAAAATAAAAAGCAAGTACCCAAGCAAGATACAACCATAGACTAATTACCTCGTTATGCCGCACAGGAAGTTCATTATATTCAGAAGCAGCAGATAGGATATGCAAGACGATCTATAGTACAGAACCTTCTTAACCATAACGGCATAAAAAGTAAAAGCGAGAAATTAAAATGCTGAATAAAAATCTTCAAGAACCATTTCTTACTTCAAGCGATGTATCTGATGATCCTAGGTTCGAACCAAACATTGATACAGTCATGTAGCTAAAATAATACTGGGATGCTATTGAACCCAGCATCGTTGGCTCTACATTGTCTTCATTCATCTTGATGCATCCACTGTCTTCCAGATCCTCAAATGTGTTTTGCACTAACCTGCCAAAATAATCAATAAGTAATCAAAGCAATGCCACCGAAAGAGAAAGCATATCCTTATAAAAGAAAAAACAATATCCATGAGAATTGAGCATGGTATTACCTTGACAAGTAAGAGCTGGGAACTTCTGGTTGAGTATTGTCCAAGCCAATTATAAAATTAAAAATTA